CTAAGGCAGACATCTGTGAGAGCTGGGATGGCCACGCTAAGCCCTCTACCTGTTAGACAGTTGTAAGTAAAGTGAGACAAGAGACTTTCCATTCTACTAACCTGCCTGCACTGGACACGCACAGGCTCACTCTGACCCGTGATGGCCAACTGGGCAACCTTCTGCAGCACATCATCGATTTCAGGGACAATCAGCTTCCTGGATAAAATAGCCTAAAAACATGAACGCACAGTTGGAGTCATATCATTTTGCTTGCACAGTGTGAGATGCAGGACTATAACCTGGGACTACACGGGTATCAGGTGGTACATTAACACTGACTTTCTCACGTCTTCAAATATAGCCAGAGCAACTTTAAAAAAAAACAACAAACACCAAACCAAAGAAACCCAGATGGCTTACAAATCTGTATCTGTTTCTTTCAGACAATAATTTCTTTCAGACAGAATAATTGGTCTAATGATTACGGATGCCAATTCTTTAGCAAAAACATCCTCAGATCGAAATATGTCCTCATATGCATGTGTATAAAACAGCCTCCCAAACAATTTTAAAGTGTGACTACAGGTCAAACATGAAAGCTTTGCTGCTTTCCCTCCCCTGTACAACAGAGAGCCTTAACAGCATTCTGTGGCCTGTTCCTGACGTGAGATTGTACAGACTCTCACCAGAAGGCAGAATCATTGCCATTTCAGTGGCTCACAGAACCCGTATGCCTGCTGCACAGAAATACCTTGAGAAGGCCAAAGGCAGTGGCTTGGCGTGATGAATCATAAATGTCTTCTTCAGCAAAGCCAAGCAACACTTGGAGCTGTTTGCTTGTTATCTGACTCTTTGCGTTCTTCACAAGTATTGTTACACACTACAAATCAAATTGCACATTGTCAATACACACGCAGTGCCATAAAACATAAACCTACACCAAAGTCTGACTCCATTTGTACCACTCGGGTTTGAAAAGACAAACTGCTGCACTGAAACATGCAGCTAACACAGTTATCACATTTTGCTTTCAGCTTGCAATTTTGTGACAAAAAGTGAACGCAAGTAAATACATGAATTCAGACTAGTCTTTGAAATGAGTGGGGATGCTCACAGACATGAACCATGATGCAAAAACACAGCCAGGAAGAGGGAAAAACTCTACAGGAAGACACTGCGTACTGCAAGTGTCGTTATTACTACTATTAATTGCCCCCATCCCTTGTCTCACTTCAGCTGTCAGGGTTTACTCCAATGAATGATGTTAGAAGCAAGCTATTCAAGTACAAAACTGCTGCCACCTCTCAAAAGACAGGGTGGTAACAAGATCCTATTATAAGGAAGAAAGAAGGTAAATATGCTTCTATAAAAACACTTCTTCAGATTCAAGCTGTGCATTTTTGAGGACTAACTTTCTTTTAAGTTTGCACTTGGGAAAGAATCAGCAAGGCCACGTTTCCCTCACTACCCTGTGATCCTCAAACTACCTTTCTAGGGACAGCTGCAGGAGGGATCTACGTATGGAAGAGTCCTATCCTACAAAGTTAATCCTAAAGTAGAAAAGAGCAGAGCTGAGTCTGACTTACTTTGAAACAGCTCACAACCAGGTGGAAATTCTGGCCTTTGGCTATTCCTGTCTTGGCAAATTCTTTCAGTAAGAGGAAAAGCTGCTTGATTAGTGACTCCAGATTCGTACTAACAGAAGGCAAAGGGAACTTTAAAATCCATACCAAGGACTGCAGAGCACCAGTTATCACCTGTAAGAAAGAGCCAAAGGAGAGCAAGTGGGTACAATGACACTGAAATAACACTTTTCTCACCGTTACAGACATGGTCAGGCTATCTGCAACTGTGGTAAAAGGCAATTTAGCGAACAAAATCCATCTCTTTCAAACCATTCATATAAAATACAAAGGGTTTCTCAGTTCTAAAAACACTATCTGCCACTCTCTAATTCCCTAACTGTGATTTTACTAGGTAAAGACATTAACACGGTGCTGATTCAGCAGATGGCAGGAACTCTTTCTCAAGCAGAAGTGCCTTCAAGACATTCAAGTTGTTCTGCCAAAACCCAGGTCACCTGAAAGCTCTGCTCCAGGTATTTGATGGTGTATGAGGCATGTCTTCCACTCCCAGGAAACTCAAGGTTTAACAGATTCCTTCCTAGGCTCAACTCAAACCCTAAGCTGCCCAAAAAGGAGGCTGCCTATGGTACTGGGAATAAAGACATTGGAGTTGGATTAAAAGAAGCCACAATTGCGAAAACACTGCTCCCAGCAGCCACAGGACCTCATCACCTCCTTATAGATAGCCTACAAAGTCTGCAAAAATCTTTGTACGAACATGATCCAGAAGAAATTGTCCATACTTGAACGTGCAGCACTAGGGGCAGAGCATTCAGTCCTCCGTCAGCCATAATCCTTCCTCCCCCTTCGGATATCGTGTCCTCAAACAACTTTATCTGCACACCTCTGAAATCAGGTTTGCAAACTGGATGGCTTTCTCTTCTCTTGCAGATCAACTGCAAGAGGACATTTGTGCGCAGGACCCTTCTTAGTAGAACAGATAGAACAGGCAGACTCCAGCTCAGAATTGTACCTTGACATCCATAGATTTCAGGCAGTCTATAAGTAGCTGAACAAAAGGGTCTAACATTTCCAAAGCATGCTCCTCAGAAGAATTTACTTTGGACCTCTTCAGGCTCATGTGCAGCAGCTGGCATAGAAAACACAGGACATTCATCTCAAAGTCAAGCTGGGACTCAAATAAGTCAAGTAAGGACTAACATTATTTCAAGTTATAGTAGAATTTATGCCATATCCCATCCAAGTACCTGCAACAGGCTGAGCACTTTTTATAGCTCTCTAAGAGGCATCGTTGGAGTTACCATATGCAAAATAAAGCCAAAGCTAGTGGCTGTGCTGTTAACACAGTATATCCAGAACACCTTCCTTTGAATACTCTCAACAAAAATTTTGATTGCAAAGCTTTGTATCTGAGGAGATTCTTACCCGGAGCCCTGAATCAACCAAGATATATGTGTTAGTCCTGCTGCTGACACGTGCTTTCTGTCCTCCTCTCGTGGGAGTGGGCTGGAGCAGCAGGCAGCTCTCTGGTTGCAGTCGAGGATCTGGAGGAGGGGTAACTTTTTTTCTGAAAAGCAGCATATGAAAAAGGAGAACATTCAGATTTCAACTCTCTCCACAACAGGCTTGCTATTGGGAGTGAAGAGAGCTGGATTGTGCTCGGCTGCTACCCACACACCAGGCAAAAGCAGGTCACAGCCAGAACACAAGGAAATAAAACGAACTTGAGAGCAGCATGACAGACTCAATATTGAGAACAATGTCACCGTTGTGAAGATAATGAATGCACGCTGATTTGCTTGACATCCTCACTTTGTTCCTCTCAGTGGATAGATGAACTTCAGTAGTTCCTTCAAGCAAACACACCTCCTGCCACTGCCCACTACACTTCGTTTACTGATATTTACTTCAACTTCTGATGGCTTATAAAAGCTGCTCCAAGAAGTCTGCAAACAGCTGTCAGCTCCTAGAGCAAGCCGGCCTGTGTAACACAGGACATGCAAGACACCCAGACCCAGCTCTGCGCAGTGGCATGACCAGACGGAGAGGAAACCTGATGGTTTGCCCTGACTTCTGCACCAGCACCAAAGTGATAAAGTGACAGCTCAGAGTTTCTCTTATTCCCCACCCCATGAAAACACCCAGGACCCCAAACATCTCTTAAATGGCAGTTTGTAGCTCACTTCTAAACATTGCCCCTCATCCCTTCATCCAAACACCCAAATGCATACACCAGCTTACCAGATGGTGAAAAAGTCTTGCTGAAGGCCCTGAGCACTTGCAAAAGTAGGCTCCCATGAGTTCAGCAAGTGCTCATTCCCACTTCCATGTTTTCTCCTTGCCCTCTGACTGCCCAAATAATTCACTTACATTGCAAACAAAAGGCAGATGAAAGCAAGGAAACTCTCATACATTTGATTGGTTGAAGAGCTGCCATTGATTATTTGAGAGCTGTCATTTCTGCAAGCAAACCTCCTAATTGATAACAGACTATCTGGATAACATCCTGGAACTCACTTGGCCTTCTCAGTGAGCAGAGGCAAGTTTTCACTGATGAGACCATGACTGAGGAGGAGGAGGGATTCTGCATTCATGTCTGAATTGAAGATCAGCCCTGCCATGATGTGACGCAGTGCCTCATGCACCTTCCGGACTATCTTCAAGCTTGTGGTGCTCTCCAAAACCTGAAAAGGCACAACCATGAGAGTCAGAAGGGCAATATGAGGGCAATGATTTGCTATCTGTACTCAGAAATCCCGGGAAAAGCCAGAGAGATTCCTCTCTCACCACGTGCTACTGTAAGTCTCCAGCTCTCTACATGAACAACATCCCATTGACTCAGCTCTGCCCCAACATCCCTCCCTTTCTCTCCAGCCTCTTCTCGACCTCCAGCCAGTTCACCTAGCACCACCAGGACACTCCAGAACTCATGAGCAAAGCAGGGCTCAATTTCTGCATGAGCTCACACTCTACTTAAAAAACTACATCTCTGAAAAGGCAATTATTGTACATGGACAGACCCTGAATACGTTTTGGTGACATTTCCTTCACGCACAAGAGATCAAACCACAGAGCAGCCTTGCAGGACTTTGGAGCTCCAGAGGAAACAAGAGTTGGCAGAGGGAGAGGGTACAGAGAACTCACAGCGGGATATTTCCTCTCTAGCAGGGGCTGAAAGCTTCCCAGAATGCCATTCCCTGCCCTGGACACCAATAGTAAAGTCTCATTTTATGAGCTGGGTGCATACTGCTTTCCAAAAGAAAAATAGGAAGCCAAAGCAGGATTATACAGCTAATTTCACAGTAGTAACCTGGAGGCTCTAGAGTTTCTTTCAGATCATACAGAATTGAGAGCCCTCAGAGTTAAGAAAGACTCTTGCTGGTTTTTCTTACCTCTTTCAGCGGCAGAATAAGTTTTGTCACCTGGCCCTTTCCTATGAACTTTCCCAGAATTTCATAGGAATCATAACTCTTGTTCTTGCGCGCTTCCATGACCTTGGAGACAATTCCCTTCACTTCCTTCTCTTCAGCTACATTCCCGAACAACTCTTGGTTGAAAATCTTTGGAAATCAAGCAAAAGAAGTGAATGAGAGGAGCAGAAAAGAAGAGCCAGATTCCTCCAGTAGCAGCAGAACAACACTATTTTTCTCCTCTCGTATAAAAAAGAATTCTTCAGGTTTCCCACAAATCATGTCTACCTTTCCTCTGTCAACACAAAACACCCCAGCTTGAGCACACCAGATGAGGAAGCTGTTCTCACACCCCCCTGTGGTGTTGTGATACAAGGAGTGAGACGTCAGTCAGACCAAGACATCCAAATACGCTCCATCTGGGTGGCCACCTGAGCTCCTGGGCTCTGTGCACTGCACTGACTAGATGTGTGTTGCCTGGCTCAGCCATTTAGAGCACAGGGGAACATAGTTAGGTATCTTAATCTTGAATCCATTCCCTCTCAGGATGCAAGGCTCAGGATTCAGCCCCAGAGATACTCTGCTACTCTACAAGGGGTCTGCTGATGCCTCAGTAAAAAACAGTCCCCTTCTTTTGCAGTACGCACACAATCAGCTCTGTTTGCCACCAAGTCCAAGACAATCTACACAAAACCTTTTCCTCCCAGAACCTGCCCAAGGCACTTCATGATGCTCTTTCCTTCAATCTTGAACAGCGTTTACCTCAATCAGGATATCTAAGCAGGGGTCCAAATCACCAGCACTGAGCCTGGTAGTAAGGCCCTTCAGTAACAGGTTCACAGTGAAAGTCAGCACATGGAGCTAGAGAAAAAGACAATAGATCATGTTTTCAAATCTTCATAGACATCTGTAATAATACCGGATGGGGAGGCTCTCACAGCAGAGATATCACAACTCAGACACTGCACTTGAACTCTCATTACAGGGAAAAAAAGTCATGGAGAGGAAGAGAATCCATGTACCAGCAGCAGGAAGAGGATCCCTGTCCCTCCACATATCGGCAGGAGGGCTGGAATCTCCTCTTTCCCCAGTGGTCTTACTGATATTTTTAGGCTGTGCTAATTGGTGTTTTCACTGTTACAGCAGCTAGAAGCACAGGCTATTCCACTGTGGTAATTCACACAGAAAATTATTCTTAACCTCAACCACCATGGAAAGAGGAAAGACAAAGTAATAGTCAGAGCCTGAGCTCTGGATCTAGGAAGTAAGACCTCAGTTAGCATCTTCACATACTGTCTGTGCAGTCTCTGTGGCAACTCTCCTCAGATGATGCTGGGCCCTAATGACCTTACTGGAAAGATTTTCACTAATCTTATTGGAACCAGAAATTCATCCTTCACCTCTGTACCTCAATCCTTCACTGGGAAAACGGAGATCCTCTCTTCTTCCCTTCTTAGACTCTAAGTTATTCGGGTACAGACCTTCATTTGACATAACAAAGACTGATGTAGGCACTAGCAATAGTACTTAGTTGTATTATACCAAGCTATTCTACCAGTGCAAAACAATTTGAGTAGCAACTTCCCTTTGGATTCTCCTCCTAACACATTAAAAAAAACCTACCGAGAGGAGAAGAGGAAGAATTTCAGCATTACCTGGTACCCATGGACAAGAGTGGACTGCATCTCTTTTAAGATGTACAGAAGGTACTGCACTCCCAACACTTCCATGATTTTAGTGAGGGTGTTACGGGCGATGTCCCGTATTTCCTGAAATCTGTTCCTCAGAAACGTGCAGACTTTCAGCAGGATGCTGGCAAGAGAGATAGACAACTTAGCTCACCCCCAAACAGAGCAGAACTAATGTCACTGCTAGCTAAGCAAGCTGCTTTTCAGGGCTGTTTCACAACCAGAGTTATACTCAAAGCCAGCCTCACCAAAAGGCTTCAGTCATACACACACCTACTGCCCTTCAAGACATTTTACCGATTGTCCTTTCTTTCTGTACATTATTCTTTCCCGAGCTCTGCCACCCCTAGCTCTGCACCTTGCTTCTCAGCTCTGATTTTAGTTAAAGATTTACCAAGTTCCTTTCAAACTTATTTTTACAGAAGTCAAATGCTGACAGCGGGGAATGTCACTAGGAAAATGAGTTTCCAAAAAACGTATGTAAGGACTGTTAGGATGTCTCTCTTGGATTTAGCTTTGTATGTAACCACAGCTTGAGAAAGGTGCCTGCACTCATTCGCAGCACAATGGACAGCATTTAAGGAGCTCTGAGGGGATTTACCTTGGCAGATTGGCTTCCATCACTTCCTGGGGAAGACACTGCATCATCCTGACCATTGCAAAAGCTAATGGAATACGAACTACCTCATCATCATTCACAACGTTGGATTTCACAAGCTTGTGTTCCTCATCTCTTTTAACCTTTTGAAGAGAGCAAGACACAACGCGCTTTTAATATACATAAACAAATCCTGCTTTTTCTCAACAAACCCTAGAAGAGACCAACAAGGCAAGCTGCTAACCTCTGCTGACTACAGGAAAAACCCAGACAGCTAAAGGATAGGTGAGATGAATCCCTCTGTTTTCAATACAGAAGCGAAGCTGGGTGCTAGCAAGGGGCTGAGAACTTTTCAACAGGCTGCACAAAGTGACTCATTACACGTGTGTGGTTCAAGCCAGTTCTCAGCAGGGAAGTAAAGACACGATACCCACACTGACAAGAGGGTCTGAAAGTAATCTCCACGACACAACAAAGGAGATGAAGTCTCTTGTATTTTCAGGTGGTCTCTCTCCAGTTTCGTCTATTTTTTTTCTTACGTGCTGCATTTCCACTGGGCTCTGAAGTAGTACCCCAACCTTTATAATAGCAGCACAGGCCTGCAAAACACCCTTCCAATGCCAACTCCTCACCTTTGCAACAATGCACCTGTGCAATTTGGGCAAGATGTTGACTGTAACTGTATCTTGAATATGCCTGATCAGACACTCCAGCTCCTCTTTATTTCGGGGTAAGAAACAAACAGGTTTGGTCACTTGCTCGGTCTCTTCAGATGTCTCAGCTGCTTGCTCAGGTTCTGCTGGCTCCTCAGGGAGATTCTTTCCTTTCTTTTCCTCAACCACCTCCTCTTCCCCTTCACTCTGCTCCAGCTCCATGGCTTCTTCAGCCTCCACCACTGGCTCAAGGTCCATGGCAGCAGCTTCTGTCAAGTAATTGTCAAAAGCACAGGTAAACATAGGATGCAACAAAAACTGAGCCCTTAAGAGAAACTCTTGTGATGGCTTTCTTCTGGACAAAGCTCCTACCTATCATCAGTGACAGCAAACAATCAGTAAGCACCAGAGATGTTTTACAGGGTAGAGAAGTTCTCACATGCCAGTTTCCAATAGTCATCCCTCAGGGACAGGCTTAAAGCAAAGACTAGGTTACTCTTCGGCTGAACTTCATAGACAGGTTAGCAAAGGTCTATGTGCTTGAACCTTAGAGAACTGCCACTCACTCACATTTGAGAATTTCACAAGGCAAGAGGTACTGACAAGCACAGGTGTGAAACATCCTCCTCCTTCCGCAGAATATCCCAAATGCCAAAACATAAGTAACCACACCACTGAAGAAGCCAAAGATATCACTTCTTCCCATGAAATGGCTGGGGAAGCAAGGCGACGACATACAGCACCCTTCTCAGGCTGCAGATTAACCAGCAGAGGAGCCAAAATCAAAGACAAAAAACTCAGATGTGTTGGCAGACACGTGGGTGGAGAACTCCCCAAATTTGCATAAACCCAGCCTGGGCAGTTTGGGCTTATGGAGGCCTGGGATGGAGAGGTAATGTGGAGATGGTTCCCCTTACCTCTCCTCACTTTCTCAACACACAGGAGGACAGTCTGCACTGCTCCTGCAAAGGTCAAGTCAAAGTCAAACTGCCTGCAAGTCAAGTCAAAACTAGCTTCCAATATGCACATTTTAAAAAGCTGGGAGTAACTGATCTCAAGAGTAAACTACTTTGAGCAGTCAGAGGTAGTATTTCTACAATCAGGAGTAAAAAGCTCACCTTGGTTGCCAATGGTCAAAAGCTGTTTTTCAAGCGTTTCATGGTCAAAATGAAAGGCTTCCAGCACTGTCTCTAACAAGCTGCGAAAGGAGAACATGAAGAGAGATCAGCTCTTCACACAAAAAAGAGAGGCTGCATAGGCCAACACAATAGGAAATCTTAAAAGCACTTTTTGGAAAACATTAGACTCAGTGACACTGCAGAATAGGGAGGTTTATCCAGAAACAACAACCTAAAAAATAAAAACCGGTTGCTTTTCAGCTAGATGCATTCTGTGACCTAGCTCTGTGAAACCTCACAGACAGTGGTACTGGAGCAATGGAGGTGTCCCAGAAGCAGGGACAGCTTTAAATAAGCAGAAGCTGCTAACACTAGCATGCACTCAGTGAGCCGCAGCGTAAAAAAGTAACGACCTATTAATCCTTCATAGTTGCAGTCTGCAAGGCCATGCCAACTTTCACTAGCATAAACCCACCTCAAAGTCGGCAATCTCATCCCAGGGAAGAGGCTAAAATCCATGTCATGCTCCTTAAGACACTGAATTTTGCTGTAGCAGTCTTTGGAGAAACCTAGACCAACACCACTCACAGTACCTACCTGACTCCCAGCTTCGGGCTGATCTGTCCTGTTTGCAGGACATGAATGAAATGCTTTAAGTGGTACAAGTATGCTGACCATGAGAGATGTCGGCAGGCAGCTCCAACAACTTCTACTGAGGCTGTTACCATGTTTTCATGCTGCCCAAAAGATAGAAATTCAGTTGCTGTTAGCATCCAGGACGAACATGTGTCTAAAGCACACTTTACTCCAAGCAAAAAGAGCCAGAAGAAGTAACGTCTGTCTAGTGGGGATGCTTGGTATTTGGTTCTTTTAGATCTCCTCCTGATCACCAGGTGAAAATAAATAAATAAATAAATCACAGCTCAACAAGCAGATCTCCAGACCCACTTCCTCCAAGTATTTCTGCACACATTTAACTTTTCTCACATAACCAAATCTATGCACTCACTTGTGCGAAGAACTAAAAAACCAGCCAAGACATCTAACTGCAGACACATGGCACATTGCTAAGCTACACCGATCAACTAGAAATACACATCGTTAGCCCATTTCTAATGCGAAATAAAAGGCGTTTGTTTCTTCACCAAGGTTTCAATCAATGCATTTTACCTCCTGTTGGTCAAAGAGCGACTGTAATCACTCTACTGACCAGCACAGTCTGTGTAGTTGCAGGTGCTGGGTCCTGTGCCTAAGCCGTAATTGTTTCAGCTTCAGAAGAATATTTCTGACAGTAAGTGAATTAGACATTCGCTTGGTCTGACACAAGCAGCTCTGCTGTTCTCCTGATAGCGTGCAGTGAACTGTACAGAAGTGTGAAGCCTTGCTTTTCCAAGTTGCAAGTAGAATGTCTATCCACATTGACATTACACATAACTTCACCACGTGTGTTTTCAATAAAATGTATGGAAAGTGACTAACAAAATGTCACCCTTTAATTATAAAGCTACTAATGATTTCAGAGGTTTTCAGCTGATTCCTGCAGTTCCTCCATAACTCCAGAGAAAACAGTTTTTATTCCTACCTCAATTACTAGGCACAGCCTATGTTCCCCATCATACACATTCTGCTGCCAAAGAGCAACTAATCTCACAACTGAACAGTAAGAGAGCAGTTTGGAGGCAGAGGGGAAAAAGTAATAACGTGATTATGAAAGATGCAAACAAATATAACCTCAAGCAGAAAAAAGAAACAAAAAACAACCCCCAAACAGTTAAGAGATCCACCTTTGAGAAACAGGACAGGTTTAGCAGATACAGGATTGGGCCCAGACTGCATCTGCACCTTTCAAACCCTCTTTCTGCCACCTAAAGAAGCAGAGCACTCTTGTCCAAAAGGGAAACACTCACTCCACAAAAATATCAGCCTTTCAAAGTGGTTAGTCTTTTAAGGAGACTAGTATACAAGAAAGGTGAAAATACACAAATGGATGCATCCAATTTAAAAGCCTACCTTAAGCATTTTTTCATTAAAAATGGCAGTAGTAGCATAAGGCATGATGTAGTTCTGCAGGGATTTAGAAGACAGTACAAGATTTTTTTCCGTGAGTTGCTTAGCCAGTTTCCTCAGAGCTCGTGCCCTCCTGTGGATCTGAGCCAAACATGAGAGACAGTGAATGAGGTGGCCCTTGAGTCACAGCTAGCATGAGGGAGCACATACATTCAGCAGTTCTGAAAATGCCTCAGTTTTAATTAATGACATAAATATATTCTGGTCATTTCCCAAGGAAAAGGCCATGACCTTTTCCTTCAGTCTCTGGGCTTTCTCTAGCTTTTTGCCTCAATAAATATTCTAATTCAATGGGACACTTCACTGTAAATTCACAATCATAAGACTGTGCCATCTTCAGGTATCAGACAAGGGAGGCAACTGATACAAGATGAGAAGGCCTGATAAAATTGCAGGGAAAAAAAAATTTAGATCCTACATATAACTGCAGATGTAGCAAAGGCTCCCTCTGATTCCATCTCTGAAAGCAAGACAAACACTGTCTTTTCATACTGCAAGAAAAACCAGGAGACCAGACTTTGTGCAACATTTATGTTACAAAGGTCTGTGAATCAAAAGAGGCTGCAGTGCGTTCAGACAGAGAGTAGCAGGGAACAGGCTATTAAAACCAAAAAGATCTGTTCCCTGCCTATGTCAGCGGGATCCTCAGGACACCGTTGCTAACTGTGGGCTGGGTCACACACAGGTTGTAATATGGAGTTGCCTGCTCGAGATCATGAACAGTCACTTAAAATGTAAGTAATTCTTTTAGCTAAATCAAGAAGAGGTAAAAAACAGTGCTGCTAAATCACACAACCAAGAAATTTCTAAGTAGAAATATGACTTTGATTTGCAATCACCTACGTGACAACACCCACATACTTCTTTTTTTAAAAAAAAAACCAACCTCACCAAACCGGTATCTAATGACACAGGTTCAATTTCTCTGTAAAGACAGTGCATAGATGCTTTGGAAAACACTACCCCACAGTAACATGCTTTTGCTTTGACAGTGGAAGAGAGGCACTAGGGAATGCCTGTTGCCTTTTACCTGTATGTGTTTCATGTTCTCAAAGAAGTCCATGTCGGGATCATGGCGGTTAGTCAACTGAACCAAATCCCGGAATTCAGGATTTGCTGGGAACGTTTGAATGAGGCAGGAAAGCAATGATGTGTAGTCCTGCTGGATGCTCTGCAAACAGCAAGCCATGAAGGTTAAGTACCCCTAAGAGAGTCTGCTACACACTCCTCAGAACAGCACTGCTGTCATTTACAGACTGTTTCAGGCCATGTCCTATTCTCCAGTAAAAGCAAATACACCTGTGTTTTGGACTGGACACAAATTAAACTCTCCCCTCCAAAGAACGAGCTACAACTGAGAAAAGCTGAACAACGGCAAAGAAACTTAAGACAGTGGAGTTCTATAACTTGTTAGATTTTTATAAGATTTCAAATGCAGGCTAAGTTAGATTACAGTGGGCATCTGCATTTCTCGTCCCAGCAAGAGACTCAAAGAACTCATCTATAAGAAGTCTCGCATGCCCTGGGGTTCTGAAGACACCTGGAGATGCGTAATCAGATAGCACTGCTTTACCTCAGTCTTACTCTTCAGCCCCCTTCTCACAGACTCCAGGAGAGTGTGCTGGATTAGCTCCTTGTAGTCAGCATCTGTGTGGTTGATTTCTGCCAGTCGGCGGATAAAACTGGTCAAGCAAAGGCTTGCGTTGTCACTAAGAGCCATATCCCCTAGCTGAATGGATAAAGAAATTGTATCACGTGAGTCTGGATATGACACCTTTTTCTCCCCAAAAGACTAGACACAACAGTACCACTGGACAGAAATAACAAAGCCTGTAGAGACCAAATAAGTCTTGAGATCCTTCCTATAGAAGTTCTGGCTCTGAATTTATGGCCACCCTCCCGAATAGGAAAAGTCCTTTTAGATTTACCAGCTGGCTCACACAATCAGAACATGCTGCAACAAAAAGAAAAACAGCCTTTCGAGACTGTAATATGCTTTTTATACAGAGCAAATTGACCAAATGGTTCCAGGGTTCACGGACAGAAAAGTGCACTGTGCTTGAGTGAGCCTTCTTGCTGCACTGTATTTGCCCTTCTGGACACGCAGCTGAAAACGCAAGCGGACAAAAAAAACCCAGGTGTTTGTAAGAAGACTCGAATGTGCTCTCTGAATGTTTTGCAGTGTCAAAAAACAGTCAATGGAAATAATTTAGAAGTTAAAATTCATCATGGACACATGGTGCACAAAGCAAGAGAAGGAACATTCAGCCAACCTGGATGGTATAGAAGCAGTTGTGCATAACAGGGATGAGGAAGTTGATATCCACTGCTTGCATTTCTTTGATGTGTGTTGTGATTGACTGGAATGCTGACAGACGTACATCGAAGTCGATATCATCGAGATGCCGTTGATCAAAGGCATTGAGCTAAGAAAGAGTAACAAGTCATTCACGAAAAAGGCCAGAAACATGACAATATAATGTCGGGGAAAAAAGTGAGCAAAGAAACTGTGCATACCTTAACAACATCAGTAATATACTTCAATTCACTGTCCAAATCAGATAAAGTCTAAAAAGAAACATAAGAGAAAATAGTTTAACTGTTATAGTTGTTAAAAATTTAGAGAACTGAAGACTTTACCACTTCAGACAAAAAATAAAGAAAGCAACAGTATCAATTTTTCTCCTCTTAGAAGCTTAACAAAAGCCATTCTTCCATAATCTTCCATAAGTTGGAAGATGTGTGTTTTAAGTTCCTAAGTTTCTAAATATCTACATCGAGTGTTTCCTGGGTTTTACTGATGAAAAAAAGTTATGTAAGTCACTTCAAAGAAGTACAAAACAGCCTGACTGCTATAAATCTGTGAGAGAAGAATACAAGTAAAAATCATCTTCAGAATGCTGAAAGTCATTCTTATTTCGTAAAGATACAGGATTTGTTACGGATGAAGTGTGCTTTATTTGGCTTCTCTTACACAGAAGAACCCTGGTGATGCTCACATCAACCAGGTTGTAAGCCAAAACTTTCAAAAGCCTTCTTGCAGCTCATTAATTTCTATCATATGCAATTCTGTTATTTTCACTTAACAGATACGTAGACTAAAAAAGTTTTTAAGTTCATATACAACAAAGATAAATACTCCTAATTATTTTGTTGTTCATCTCTTAGAACAAATGAAAAAAGCACAGAAAGACACCTAAAAATGCAATACCTGAAATGCCAAGCACAATTTATGTCGAGACAGTTTGTTTTGGATGACAGAAAAAAGCTTTGCCAGTGGTTTGAGAAAGTTTGTAGGGTTTGAACAATGCCTCAGTAAGTTCTGCACTGTCTCCAGAATGTCAATCTCTGTAGCCTGAAACAAACAGAAAACTGTCAATAAATACTGAAAGATTACAAGATTATTTCATTTCCTTGGGAAACATTTCAAGACACAGAGTGAACTTAATTACTTTGTTGTATTTTATTCAGATCACAGATATTGAATAAGAATAAAGAATTAGGAGGACACGCTCAATGCAATCATCAAATCTCTCAGAAGCACTTGCAACCTTTCAATTAGACACAAGCACAGTGTTAGAGAAGAATGCCATCACGATGAAGGCTTCTTGCTTGTGTCTTTCCTCAAATGACTCAAAGGTCTGGAGAACTAATAGAGCTTTAAAAAGCAGCCTTTCTTTAATCTGTGAAACAAACATTAACAGGACCATATACTTGTATGATCTCCCTGAACGGAAATCATATATGGTCTCCTAATGATTCAGAGATTTAAAAACCAAGAATCGTCTGTGAACAACTAAATGATCACCTGCAAAGCAGAAAATGGCATGGAGTGCCATTTTCAGTGGCATGGAGTGCACCCTCAGCAAGTT